GTAAGCAAAGCACATCAAAACCACAAAATCCTCTATAACCTCGAGAAAGTAGCAAAATTCTAGGCAAAAAAAGAAAAACCTTATAAATAACAATTTTCAGAACACATTTTATTACTTCTTATAAACTGTGCGCTTCCACTTAGTTACCGAAAAAACTTGGCATACCATATGATGCCCACAACCGAGAGACATATTAAGATAAATTAATACAAATTGAAAGCAACAAAAGTCATAAAAAAACATCATGTAAGATAAAAAAAAACCAAATAAATACCATTTTCAGTAATAGAAACAATATCAAGTTGAAGCTGCCAAACTTCCCACGGGACTTCTTCCTCAGGCATCAACCACTGCCGTTTACGTCTTTGAAAGAACTCCAAACTAATCCTGAAAAAAAGAAATTTTCTTCTGTCTTACGAGCAACTGACTTTCTCAAAAATCACAGAACATGAAAAATGAATCTCTTTTCAAGGTCCGCAAAGCAAACAGAAACGTAATTAGGAAATGGTTCCCAAATGACCATTTGGAAACCTCGTCGCAATAGAATCTCTACAAAAAATGTATCTCACTGGCTAAATGCAATGTTTTCTTAACAAATGACTACCAGTAAAGAACAACAAAGTTTCCTAGGTGTATTTTTTATTCGCTCAAATTCGCCCATCTATAATCTACAGCACAAAACTAGCTGCCCTAATAAAAATATCTTAGCTCTTTATCACGAAAAAAACTTTCCTAATACAAAGAATCACTGTGGTTCGGCCAATATTTACATAACTGGTTTTCTAAAAATAACAAACCATTTGAATTTTAAGATGAATTTTGTAAACAAAATAATGAAGTAATTCCCCCTTAAATAGAAGAATCAACGTTAAACCCGTAAAAACAGTCATCTAAAAAATTCTGAATACAACACAGAAACAAATCACTGCGGTAGCGAAACCCTCGAGGAACAGAATTTATCTATCTCAACGTTCAGTCGTTTGCAAACCTACAATTCAATAAATCCCTTCGGCACAAAAATTGAAACTTGTCTATAATAATTGTGTAAAAAAAAGCTTTGATGAAGTAGAACACTTCAAAAAATTTCTTCAACAGTACTGTCATCCACCTAAGTTTTTCCTCGCACCATAAACATTTTTTTAAAGTTCAATTGCACCCCATTTCTTCATTAAAAAATACCTTAAAATAACTTTCAGCTACGAATAAAAATAACAAAGCCACGCTTCAATTTTGCAAAGTACCCAAAATCTTAAGTTGTCTTAACACACGGTTTGATGCTCTGGTACTTCTAATCACTGTTTTCTCATACAAGAACCCTTTCTTTGATTACCCTTCCCTTCCGATTACCAAAAAACGACGCAGACACCATAAAAACAAAAACGGCACTTGCAACGAAGTTACCCATGTTTTTCGTCATGACACCACTCCTAGCACACCAAAAATTATTTTTTTCATAAAATGGTTTTTAACGCAGACAAGATTCTTGCGTGACTATTTAGGAAAATATGTGGAAAAAAACCCTAAAATTTTGGAAGCAATTTGTGCTTCTCCAATTCATATCAAAAGATTAACTTTCTTCACACGTTCAGGAAAATGCTTTAGTTGAGGAACTAATCGTTACTGAGTTAACAAACTTGCCTCGACTAACTCTTTACTTCTTGTGTTGTTAGGGTCTCTAGTGCATCTGCCTACTAAAGAAGAATAAAATAAGCATTCCAGAAAACATGTGACGAATGTACAGAAGCACTAAAAGTGAAGGAAGTTTTGCAAACTTACTTAGTGCTGCATAGAGGAACACCATAAGGGCACGATGGGAAAGATGTTAAATTGCGAGATGTTGACGGTAACTCGACAGCCTTCTCAAGATCATAACAAAACGTATCTACCTCAGTTTGTACATATGAGACCAACTTGCTGCTGTTGACCCTAACCTATAAAAGTATAATAACGAGAAGGTTGATTACACGGTAGCTAAATTTCCTATCCGCTATCAATGACAGAAGTAAAAGGCAAAATTTACGTAAGTGAGATCAATAGAATCACAGTCTACTTCCTCGACTCCAATTGACCCGACTTGGTAATTATTTTCCGATTTGAAGTTAAACTAAAATATATACTACAGATCTGAATCAAACGAGACTAGAAAACTGCGCAAGGAGATGAAAATATAAAATAGTTCAACAATAAATTATGAGCACAAAAACCACGAATTCCTTTGTTAATCGTTACTTTAATAGCCAATTTTCCTTTCAAATGCTCACCTTCCCCATGCTCCTGTGAAGCAAAAGTGTATGGAAAACAGCCGAGACTGCATCCCTCACTTGACGTATTTCTAAAGTCTGCAATATAAATACTAAAATAGTCATGCAAGCTAACTAATTAGCGCTTATTGCCATGAAGGTCATTGAAAAAGTAATGCGATGTCTCTAAACGTATTTTAAACTCAGGTTTATTACTCTTAAACTAGACAGAAGTTTATTTCGCTGTCAGTACACACATGCTTTTGCCACAGTTCTAATGAAATTAAAAGAAACGCACCAACTGGAAATGCTGATGTCGAGCATTCATACGATCTCAACTGAAAAAAAAAGCAGTATTTTATTTCCCTTTAATCAACAATGGTAAACGACATGACGCGTAAAGAGCAATGCAAAACTAAAACAATTAGCAAATTAACAGCAGTGAGAGCACTAAATGATGATTACCACCTAACGTTCTAAAGAGAGAATTCAAACAATTTTTTTGCTCGAAAATCTGAGAGGAATACCTGAAAACACAATTAATATCCAATTCGCTGTCGGAACTAGGTCAGAAAGACAATTTAAATAGTCGCGAATTAAGTCCTACCAATAGCTCAAATTAAAAACTAAACAGTACAAAAAGAACTGCATAAGAAACGGAAGTGGGCACGATTGATACAGCAAATCGCAGTCCATATAAACTTTCAAACAAAGACAAAAAAAGTTGTCCAAAATAAATTTCCATTCGATTCCGCATAACAAGCTAAAAGTTACCAGGTGCAAGATAGTCGACTATGTCAATATAAATACAAACAGGCAGGGTAACCACTGGGGGGTACATCGTCCGACTGCACCAAAAGCAACCAGAGAAATGAGACAAGACAAACCCCCAAGTCATGAAAATCCGACAGGCATATTCAGCCAAACCCAACTGCTATTTCCACGGCAATCGCTACTGCCAACCGCAACAACAACTACAACCTTGAGTATCTTACCTCAAGATACCTTTATATAAACAAATAATGGAGCTAAATAGGAAATGAAATCGAAGAAACAACTTCCATACACTGAATAATTACATTTCCAGCTCTTAACGTAGAGGGTGAAAAATAAAGTTTACTCTTTGTTTCGCTTAAACAGCCGGGCACCCGAGAGAGATGAAGGTGAAGAATGGAGCTCAAGAACTATAAGTAATTGCCTTGACGCTTCAAAGACAAACCAACAGGATCAAGATTTATAAATATAAAAGCCACGAACCGGGTGGTAAACATTAAGTAATTGCGTTACTGCAGTACCAAAAAATAATCCGCATTTCCATTTATACAACGAGAATTACTGAAAGTATTGGACTGGCACTCAGAGTAAGTGAACAAAACAACGCTCACAAAGATCTAGAAAACCGATAAATAATATATGTTCTTTATTCGTATGGATTTGACGAACACGTGAACGGAAGAAGGCTGTTAGAGAGAACAACAATCCAACTGAGAAAGAGGACGACCAAAAGGAAAATCAGCGCATACAACAAGCCAAAAATTGTGATACGTTAGAGCAGTGCTGCTGTTTGACCGAGTCAAACAAGTCACCAATGAAAGCATCGTCGGAGGCACCAAAAAATCATCCGAGTGCATTTCATGGCGGAAGGGTGCCAACCCCACCACAGCTGTAAACACTTGTTTTTCCTCCCGCTCCTACACTTCAAGTCACTAACGATATAAATTTTTCCGACCTTGTACCTCACCCAAGTCAAATAAAACTGCTTAAATTTTACTTTATAACCCAATTATTCTTATTTATATACACCTTTTATGCATCCGTAAGTATTCCGTTAATGCACTTCCGGATTATTACCATTTTCTTTAAAAAAAAAAAGCTAAACACCAAGTTATTCATCAAAAGATTTTCCGCCACAGAGTACTGAAGCGTCTGAGCGAGGAAGTAACGAAAGTGCAGAAACGTTAAAGCAACATTTCAGACCGAAACAGTCAACATAAGAAAGTAGAGAGAAGTTGTCGACTGGCTCTGGTGCTGCTAGCGGTAGAAGTAAACCATTCTCTCAACACTGTTAATATTCATTTGCTATAGTAAATATCGCTTTGAACTTCAATGACTAAAGACAAAAGACCTTACACCAACAACTCTCTTCAGCAACACTAAACGGACTGATAGTGATTTTCAACAAAAGAAAAAAAAAAAACTCCTTTCCATCTTTTCCTAAGAAGGAAGATTCAGTCTAATCATCAGAGCAAAATTTCCCCCAACCAAAGTAGATAAACCTTGTCAAGCACTCCAGTAACACAAGAACTTAAAAAAAAAATAAGGAAACAATAAAGCAGTTCAGTGCCTTAGTAAATATGACTTTGGCATTTAGAGTCATATGAATAATAATATAAATACGAGATATTATTGAAGAAAATTACCCATTGGGTAAAATTATTACCTCGACTGAAAAACCTAAAAATTATTATCTTAAAATAAACTGTAGAGCTAGGAATATGAAGTTCAGAGACATTAGAAGCACTAGGTTTAATGAAAATGAATTCAGCGCCAACTTTCATTTCTGACAGCCATCAAAAGGAACAGCTATTAAATCTCAACTGGTTCCACACATTTACGAGTAACTTACATGTTTATAATGATTGCTTTTTTCATCCCTACTACGAATATGCCATTGCCAGTAATCACACTCTTCCCCGACCAATCCATAATAACCCGTAGTGTTTCAAAAATCATCCTCATACACCGGTTCAAGATAATGGAAATATGGTACACGTATATGAAAACAGCAGTTCCAGAGAATTCAATAAAAACTTATCGCAGGCGATGAAACACCTGTCTCTACAAAACCGGGTCACTCAATATTCTGTGAACACTGAAGACAATTGGCTGAACAAAATTGGAAACGCTAAATGTTGTTTTCTGAACTGCGAAACGCCATATACAT